ACAACACAACTCCCTACACGTGCTGTACCTTACTATCTGTATATCACTTTCTATTCTTTTTACCATATATGAAACTAATTATCTAAGCATTGCGGTATGTGCTCCTCAGACTTCATGTCTCTTCCTCTCCTGTACTTCTCCACTTCTGCAAAGCAAACACATTCAGATCAGCTGAAATCATCTCAGTATTCTCATTGTTCACACATCTAAAACTTATATAGTAAAACACAACTTATAGTAAAACACATAACATCATTCTATTCCCAACAATATATATATTTTTTTATATTTATATTTTTATCGATATGTTTTTTTAAACTTGGGCCATTCAATATGCCCTTCAATGACCTAGTGGTCTGTTTTACTGGACTGTGCATAAAATAGGAAATTGTATGTTGTTGTGGTTGATGCTTGTGATGAGTATGCTACAAATGAATTGCCTCAAGTGGGATCAATAAAGTTGTCTGTTGTTGTCAGTGGTTGGGTCTCAAGAACCAAAATAGCCTAACCCTAACCCTACTACCATCCCACTGGCCAACGAAAGAGAGAAATGTATAGGCTACTCACTTGTAAAGTTAGCCTACTTGTTCACTTTTGTATTCATTAACTGTTTATTTTTATTCATTTTTCTATGCAGAGCTTGATGTTTTTATTTATATGACTTTTATAGTACACATAGGTCTAATGCTATTCATATGTTATTATCACAATGTCTGTGAATATTTTATTTGTTGATACAAAAAAGTTTATGGGCTGTTAAGTCTGGTTAAAATATATATAGACAAGTAGTTGTCTTTTAATGGCTTTTCTTAGTTACACTTAGTTAGTTAGTTCTGTGACTGTTCTGCCTTTTTGTGGGGTTCACCAGAGCTTTGTGTATATCCTTTAGCCCAAACCTGAATACTCTGCTATACCAAACTGTGATAAAACAAGCGCAAATCTACAATAGCTGTGACCAAATTTGCTACTATCACACCATTAATGGATGAATCATGGTTGTTCTTTCTGGCATAGTTACTTGTGATCTCTAATGGCAGCATGTAAATTTTGAGCATTTTTGGTCAAGGACTTTTTGAGTTATTCACAAAAAGATTTGAATCGGTTAGTATAGCGCCACCTATGGATGGATCGTGGGCATTCTTTCTGGTATAGTTACTCATGGTCTCTAGCTGCAAATTTTGAGCATTTTTGGTCAAGGACTTTTGGAGTTATTCACGAAAATCTTTGTGGATCGACCGACCGACCGACTGACCGACCGACCGACAGAGTGACCTATAGAGCTGTGGGTCACTGCTAAAAAGAAAAAGAAAAAAAGTATTTTCTGTATTTGAAAATACAAAACACATGTATTTTATTTTGATACATTTTCTGACACCAGTATTTTGTATTTTATTTTGATACATTTATTTGACGGGTATTTTGTATTTTGTATCAAAATACATTTTGATGTATTTTTGCCCATTTCTGTCTGTGCTGTTGTGAAAGGAGCTACAGTGAGAACTCCCCTGCCCGTAACTGGTAGAGGAGATGAGTGCCGCGGGTAACAAGTAAAGGCATGAAGATGATCCAGCATATCAGTTATGCAAAGCCCATGACTTATTGTCGACATCAAGACTAAAGGGCAACAATGATCAGACTGTGTTTAAAGCTCAACTTTCAAGTTAAGACCAAAAGTGCTTTACCAAATCTTCTAAGTTAAATGGCAGTGGTTTAACTGCAACAAAAGATGCAGATCTATTAATCTTTATTAATCCCTTGTTGTAATCTTGCATACTGTGTTTAGTCTACATATTTGGGGATAAATCTAATGTGCTGGTGGTTGTTACATCTCATAAGTTTTAAAGGGAACTGTTGTGCTCAAACATCAACTTAGTCCTGTAAGCAAATAATCAACCGTTTTTGTTAAAGGTTAAGGGAAAGGACATTATTAGAAACTGAAATAAGGATTTCTGAAAATGTTGTGTTTTCCTGAAAGAAATTTGAGTTTACAGGGCCAGTCCACTAATGTGAAAATTTTTCTTGTGTATAAAGTACAAGTGATTTAATGCATGTCTAAGCATATTTTCTTTGCAATTAAGGTTTACACTTTCATACTTGTGCCAAATAATTTCTTTTTTTTTCATTTTATTTTGTTTGACACTGAAGCCAACTTAAGGTTAAGATACATTTCAGTTTTATTATTATTACTATTATTATTATTATTATTATTATCAGTAAGAGCAGCAGTGGTAGTAGTGGTCATATAGTAGTAATATTGGTATTATTATTATTAGTAGTAGTGGTAGTAGTTTCCTCATAATCAATTTATTTTCTTCTTCAGTTGATCTACTTAGGCCAAATTAATATGGCCTTGGCTGCTGCCAAGGGTGGGGGTAATTATTGTGTATTATTGTTTGTTGTTTGTTACCTGTGTTTAAACAAGAAAAAAAAAGATCGTAACAAAAAAATGCAATAACATTTTTGGTGGTTGGATGCTAATATTTAGAGAGTCCAAGATATAAAGTTTATCCCAATTATATCCTAAATTACCTAACCACCTCTGCTGCAAACTGCAACCACTGTAAGCATATTGAACTTATGTTGTTTTACTGTGGTGTTAACTGCAGAGGGCAGCAACACGCCGATGATGAGTGCACGCTGCCACAAATTAGCCGGAGAAGAAGGAGCTTACCTCCTGCTTACAGGAAGTGTTGAGTGTGTGTTGAGTTGAGCCTGTGTAGCTGTCTGTGCTTGTCGGGTTCATTAAATCGGTCGCAGCATATCTCTGGTAAGTCCCCGAGGTCTAATTTATTGTAGTTAGTATGTTAGTGATTGCATTAGATTATCCAGAAAACCCACCCTTGTGAAAATGGCTTGTTAGCATTAGCTAGGCTACAATGTAGATGATAACTGTCTCATCTGTTACTATATATTCATTATTGAACGCCAGCTTATTCTTAATACACCGATAAATATGTTTCCATCGCCGGTAACTTAGCAGGTTACGCCGTTATCGTAGCAGTTTGAGGGTTACAGTTAACGTGTTGGCTCCTGCCACTGTGTTAGCAGTGGTTGAGTGTGTGCTAAACTTTGGTGTTACCCAGCTGAACTGACGTTGACGTTGAACGCTGAACAAACTTCCATAATTACAACTTGTCCTCAGGCCAGTGTTAGCGGCGTCGGTGAGCTGTAGCTCCGCCTTGCCTCATCATTTATCGTCCCACCAGGCACATAGTAACTCAGTTCCTTTACCGTAACGTCAGCTGCTCAGTGTTATGTTAGCGCACCACGGACCCAACAACACATTTAAGATAATCTGGTAGCATCTGTTAATGTTCACACAGTGCTAGCTTTCTTTTTGGGTTAGTCACAGTGTGTTTGAGGAATGGTTTGATTATCAAGATACTTGTTTAACTAAATTTAGGCCTTGGTTGGTATCGTTATTTTATTGGGTGTCCTTAAGTGTAGCTCTGTTCAGTGCATGAGGCAGCGTCAAACAGACAGATTTTACATGGACTTTGGTCCTCCTGAGGCTTCTTCATTGTTATCGTAACTTAAGTGCTTACACATGCGGCAATTCACGTAGACCGCGCACTTCGCGTGTCTCACCGCTTTTCTCCACGTTGGCATCTCTAACGACCTGTGAGTGCTACTGTTTACATTTAGGGCAGGTCACTATGCAAAGTTTTGTGCAGGAGCCAAATGAAACCAGTCCAACTGAAATTCCATCAGTTATGTCCAATTTTGGGGCCCAGTGACTTTAATGGTAAGGGCTTTTTATTGTGTACAGCTAAGCAAGTAAAAGATGAACTGATTTCCAAAAGGCAAAAAGTTAAAGATGACACATTTCTTCAGTATTATAAGCAAGATTACTCTTATATTTAAACCTTTTCAGTTGTAAAATAACAAAAAAGGGCCTCAAGCTAAAGTTTTAGGCACCCTGCATTATCAGTACTTAGAAGTACCCCCTTTGGCAAGTATCACAGCCTCTGAACACGTTGTAACCAGCTTAGAGTCTTTCACTTCTTGTTTGGGGGATTTTCACCCATTCTTCCTGCAAAAGGCTTCTAGCTCTGTGAGATTCTTGGGCTGTCATGCATGCACTGCTCTTTTAAGGTCTAACCACAGATTTTTAATGATGTTTAGGTCAGGGGACTGTGAGGGCCATTGCAAAACTTCCAGCTTGCTCCTCTTGAGGTAGTCCATTGTGGATTTCGAGGTGTGTTTAGGATCACTGTCCTGTTGTAGAAGCCATCCTCTCTTCATCTTAAGCTGTTTTACAGATGGTGTGAGGATTGCTTCCGACTTTGCTGGAATTTAGCTGAACTCCCTCTACCTGTGAGATGGAAAGAGGTCAGAATGTTAAAGCTTTGAAATTTGCATCACCTGGCCTTTCCAAACAATGATTATGAACAAGCCATTGCCCTAACAAGCTAATTAAGGTCTGAGACCCTGGTAAAAGTTGTCTGAGAGCTCAAATGTCTTGGGGTACTCTTTTTTAATTTTTTCACTCTAAAATTGCACAGAACAAAAATAATACTCAAAATTTGCTTGAAATGTCGAAAAAACACGTCTCTTATACATGCCATCGCAGATGGAGGGATGGACTGTATTGATCACAAATTGGGAAATTCTTCTGGTTCAGCAGCAGGTTAATCAGGCATTGCATCGGATCAGTAAATATAGTCTACATATCAACACTAGAAGAGAGAAACGTATGAAGACAAATATAGATCAAGAGAAAAATAAACACAACACATAAAATCAATGAAAAAATCTTTAAAATACAAGAGAAAAAACAGCATACTCTTTAAGT